CAAGACTCAGCCCCTGTCTCTGCCCTAGTAGAAAATCACTGTCTCCAAACCTCCATTCAACTGTCTAGACCCCTCATAGGGAAGAGCCTGCAGAAAGTTCCCCAAAGCTTCACTACAGTGTGTGCCCAGCCACCAAATACCATTTTGCCACCTGAGTATGACAGGGCCACTAAGGGAGAGCAGGGGTAGGGAGGAAAAAGAGGCCCATCTTTGGCCTGTTGCTCAATGCTCATGTTCCCTACAAGGCAGATGGAGGTCTCCAGTCATCATCCCAGCAGGCCCCCAGCAAAGACCACCACGGCTTCTTCCTCAGTGACAAGCAGTCAGGTGAGCAGAGCCAGCCCCTGCCATCTTCTGGCCCCTTCTTGATTTTATCCATCCTGCATTCCCTGGGGAGAGATGACCCTGCGACACTCAAAGGATAAGAGAGGACTTCCTCCATGTGCTTCTCTCTTCTCCCTCGTCTCCCAGCCTGAAGACCTGTGGCCTCAAGGTCAGACCAGAGCTATTTGCTAGGTGCCTCTTTCACGCCTAGGTATTGGTCAGGCCCATGAGGTCCACACCAAAGCACTAGGGAACCCCTTGGGCTGCTGGTCCCTGACCAATGAGACCAGAACTAGAAATGTCTATTCTAAAAGCCCCTCCACCACCCAAAGCTGGGTCTTCAGTTCCCTTCCAGGGCTACAGACTCCTAGGTCCTGGAAGCCAGACCTCCAAGTAGGAATATCTCATGCTCCATATCACCCAGGTAAGGAGAGATACCCCCCACGCTGTCCCATGACAGGTAAAGGGACACCACCCCCAACTTGTTCTGAATGTGCTATCAGGACTAGAACTTGGATGGCTTCTGTGGTTCTCTTTTACGATTTCAGTTATCACAACAGGATTGCTGGGTCTACAGTGAAGGGACAGGCCTATAGAATTAGCTGTGTGGACAAGTGTTTCCTTTTTTCCTGCAGGTGAAGCACCATCCCTATCATCTCAGATGCATCTGGCCTCTGGCCTGAGTTTCTCCAGCCATAGGCCGCCAAACCCACAGTGGGGACGAAAATGCTGGCCTCAGGAGCGAGGCTCCAGGCTAGAGCTGCTCCAGGCCCAGTTGGACAGGTGAGTGCTCCCTCTGGCAAGGCTCAAAAGACTGCCTTAGGCAGGGCATAGCTGCCGCCTGCAGGATGCTCAGGGAATTACTGCATGTCTTGTGAATTTCAGAATGATGCCCATTTACAGGCAGATTTTCCATCCCCTTCACTAAGAACAATTATTTATATGACTTTGCCAGCAAATTTTGGAATACCAAGGCAAATTCATAGGAAAAAGGCACATTTATGTGCAGAATAAATCTCATGAAGCCTTGCAAAGGGCTGGGATCAGGGCTATTGTGATAGAGAGCTTAGGAACAGCATAGATCTCAGTTCAAATTATGACTTTATAACTCAGCAGCAAGAGTTGGAAAAGATACTCTGCAGCTCTGAGCCTCAGTTTCACCCATGAAAATCATACAATTAGAATAATCATGTCAAAGCACCATTGGGACTGAATGTTGTGGGCCCCATGCCTGGACACTGGTAACATGAGTCAGGGGAATTTGGCCTGAGGTTGTGGCTCCCCATGGGGAAATACTTTCAGGTAGGTCCAAGGCTGCCACTGCACTGGATGGAGCATGGAGACTACAGAGTTGAGAGCTGCCCTTAGGGCCTGAACTGCTCTTAGAAAATTGAACCTGATGGCCGAGGGTATGTTTAGCAGGCTGGAGTCCACATGGCATCAGATCTCAGCCACATCCTGCAGCTGCTTCAACAGTCCATGCTGCACAGCCACGCCAGCTACATCCTGGGGGCCCCTGCCTCCAATGAGTTGGCCTTGTTTCCTGTGGGCTCAGCAACTCAAGAGTCCAGGGCCCAGGCTGCTCCTGGGTCCTCTGCCCCCTGCACAGGTAAGAGTCGAGGGGAGTATTCAGATTCTTTCCTCCCAACCCCAACTTGTTCGGAATGTGGCATCAGGCCTAGAACTTGTGTGGCTTCTGTGGTCCTCTTTTATGATTTTGGTTATCACAACAGGATCACTGGTCAAGGTGAAAGCAAATCCTGGGTGGTGATAACAAGGCCCACAGCTGGGGCAATGACCCAGAGATTTGGGAGGAGCTCTGTCCCTTAGGTCAGAGTAGATTAACTCCCATTCTGGCCTAGAGGCTCCCTACAGAGCATATTTCTATCTTTCTGCCCTTTCCCAGAACGACTTTATGGTGACTTAAACAAATGTACACCAAAGCAGAACTCCTCTCCCAGGATGCCTCACCTGGCTGTGGCAGTAGACAAAACCCTGATGGCATCCTTGGAACAGAAGCCTGAGGAGCTCCTGTCACCCCTGTCCTCGCCTGTGTGTCCCCTGGAGGTACAGGGACTTGTCTGTGGCCCTCTCTTTCCCTCCCTCCCTGCACAACTTGGCTCTGTTCCCAAGCAGCTGGAGTTTCAGCGATATGGCTCAGACCATGGATTCACAAGGTGTTAAGAGCCAATGAGTCCCTGAGTAAAAGCTACCACAAGGAGCTTAAGGTGGCTCAGATAAGAGTTAAGGATGTTAGAGGAGTGCCTAAGCCAAAGATGGCTCTCTGAAAACCGTTCTCCTAGAATAACTACTGACCGGCGCAGCCCCCCAATGAGACAGGAGACGCTCTTGTGGGCGACAGTTAACTGCTGCTTTATTTACGCGGGCTCTGGTTTATATATTTGGCCGTGACCAATCACAGGCTGCCATGAGGAAGCAGGGCGGGAATGGGACGTGGGCTCTGGTTACTATATCCAGCTGTGGCCAATCAGGGGTTGCCACAGAGTCGGCACGGGGCGAATACGAGTGAGCACCAGGTGCGCACGGGTTGGCTAATTTAAAGAGGGACGTATTGCATTGCGGAAGCTGGCGTGGTCCTTAGTCCCGGGTGGGGTATGGTATGTTGAGCGCCTGCGCCCAACAACTACAAATTGCTAACCCATGGGGCTGGGGATTTAGCTCAGCGGCATAAGCGCCTGCCTTGTAAGCAGGCAGTCGTGAGTTCGATCCCCGGTATTAAAAAATAAATAAATAAATAAATAAATAAAAAACAAATTGCTAACCCAGGTGAAACCAGTTGACACAGAGCACTTTGACCTGTCCTCCTTCAGGGCTCTGTATAGACAGCAAGCCCTCCCAAAGGTGAGGGAGCACAGGTGTGGAGGTAGCTTAAGGTGGAGATATTCATGAAGAAAGGAATAAAGTTTCTGACCCTCCTTGTGAGTCTTGCTCTAGGCTGCATGTCTGATCAATTCTTGGCTCAAAACCAGCCACCACCTTTTCCCAACAGAAGAAGGGAAATCTACTTGCCCAAGGACTGCAGATATTAAAACTCAGGAGCACTTGACTAGCAATCACAAGATCCTGGGTTCAAACCCCAGTACTGTGAAAAACAAACAACCAAACAATCACCTTAGGAGAAACATCAAATTCTTATGTTAGAGTTACTGTGTGCAACTAAAGAAAATTAGCTTAGGCTAGCACGTTATGCTCCTGGGAGTTTGACTATGAGAAGCTGCTAGACGGTACCATGGCTGGTTAAAAGGATGAGGAATTTTTTTACTTAGATCCTTAAAAGATAGAAGATGGATATAATGGCCCTTGGACATACCTGTCTGACTTAAGGTCCTGATTCCTCTCTGGAAAATACAAAATTCAAATTTACCTAACACCCATATAATTCTCTTCATATGTATTTCTATTACAGTATGGTAAGACTAATGATTAAATAGCTAACATACATGCTTGCTTCAGCTGCACATATAATTAGTAGCTAGCATTTCTCAATGACTTACTCCATACCACAGTTCCTAAGTCTGTTACATACATTAACTCCCATCTTCTACATAACCACCTTATAAGATAGGGAACCTCAGAACCTACTGCCCTTGCTGTACAGATGAGGACACTGAAGCCCAGAGCATAACTTTTCCATAGCCACACAAAACTGGGAAATGGGAGGATTCAGAGCTTAGCCCAGGGGTGGGGATGTAGCTCCGCGGTCAGCACTTGGCGAACGTTAATGTGGCTCTGGGTTCAAGCTCTACATCTCGGAGAAGAAGAAAAAAAAAAACTCAGACAAATCCACAACCCAGGCTATCTCACAGAGGCCATCTGGAAATAGAGCTTTTATTATGGGGGAACTTGGATGAAAGGGCAGGACCAACATGCAGAAATGCAAATGCAAAGGTAACTCTAGGGGAAGTTCTTAGCAGGCCATCTAGACCACCTGTGCCTGTCAACTCCAGGACTGAAGCCAAGGACTGAGTAAGTCCCTTGAGATTCTCACAGTAAAATTTAGAGAACCATTCTTCTGATACCAAAAACCATTGCTCTAGCACCCAAAGGAAGTCAGTAACAACACCAAACATAGGGCTTTTCAATCCAAGTGTACTTGATAGAATCCGTTTCTGTATTCAGCAGCCAGGACAAAGAAATGCCAGGGAGGAGAACAGCTCGTGGTTTGTGCCCAGTGTTGAAAAGCAGAGGCCTGGACATTTAAAACTCTTCCATGCTTGAAACAGTTGCTCTGGCCTTGACTGGTGCATTTCTACCTGAGAATTCCTACTGCTTCAGGTAAGATCATTTTAGGCTGGCTTCCCTGCCCAGACCACCCTAAACACATCCATCTGACCCCTTTGGCAGCCCCTTGCCGCTGTGTATATACATCCCGGGATGAGATGTCACTGACTCAGAAGCATTCTGCTAAGCCTTCTGCCCCAAGCTGCCTCCCACCAAGGGGCTGGTCCCTGGGGCCTCAAGAAGTGGAGGTGGCCTTCTGGCATCTGCACAGCCACAGCTAGGGAGGCGCTGGGACAACCCCAGAAGCCCCCTGATTTCCGCACCTTGTCCTGCTCTGCTGGTTCCTGCGTGGCTGCCATGGGCAGAAGGGACTGGATTGTCAGTAGCACAGCCCCTCAGTCCACTTCATTCCACACCACACCTTCCCTCCCCTCCAGGTACTTTGTCAGCTTTGTCATCCAGTTCCAGTTCCATGAGGCGCTGTGCCAGGCTGCTGGCCACCAGGGGCCGCTGCACAAATGTGATATCTACCAGTCCAAGGAAGCAGGGAAGCGGCTGGCGTAAGTGTTCCTGGCCCTCTCACAATTTTCACACTCTGCTCTGCTCCCCTCAGCCTCCCGCCCAGTGGGGACCTAGAGGATCCTGGTCTCAGACCTTCCTATTCCTAAAGGAACGTTTAGACAGAGAGACGGATACAAAGAAGAATATCAGGCTGAGGAAAGAGGGCCTGGGTTGTTCTGACTCAGTTTCCCTTTCTCTGGTGGATTCCCCAGGGACATCATGAAGCTAGGCTACAGTAAACCTTGGCCAGAAGCCATGAAGCTGATGACAGGTCAGCCCAACATGTCGGCCTTGGCCATGATGAACTACTTCAAGCCACTGATGGACTGGCTTGTCACTGAAAACGGGTGGCATGGGCAGAAGCTGGGCTGGCCGCAGTACAACTGGACACCAAACTCTGGTATCACGACCCACCCCACCTCCAGCCCAAGGCCCACCCCCCCAGTGTTCGACAGGACAGAGCCCCCTCCCCAGTCCAGGCAGGCTCACGTCTGACCTCAGAGAAAGAACAGGGAAGCCAGAGCCTGTAGACCCGGCCCACCCATCCCCCTGCCCACTGCCCTGTTTTCTTGCTTCCTTGTCCAGCTCCCTCAGACTTCTTCTCGGACACTGGCCATGTCAACTTCTTGGGCATGAACCTGGAGCCACAGCAGGCCCGCATGGGCCAGTGGGTGCTGCTCTTCCTGGGTGGTGCCCTACTGGTGGCCACCTTGGGCCTTACCCAGCAGCTCTTCAGCAGGCGCCACCACAGTCTCCACCAGCCCCAGTTTGGCTCTGAGGTGGATCTGAGACACACTTGAGATGACCAAGCTAGACTGGGCTGGCTAGGAAGTGTCCACAAGAGATTGGGTAGTGAATGTGTTTGGTGGGCCAAGATTGTATCCCAGCATGCTCTTCCTCCCACCCCTTCCCCTTCTTTTCTGTCCTCTATGTCACCAGCCACCTCAGCTCTGCCCTCATTTTTTGGGTACCCTGCTGTCTAAATGGAGTTTCCCCTGGTCCTTCTGTGAATTCAATTAAAAGTCCTATCCTCATCGTGTGAGTCTGTGTCCCTCATGGGGAAGTTAGGGATAGGGACAGATGGCTCTCCAGTATCCTGGAAGTCCAGCTGGTCCCTTTTCTGGGTTGCTACCTCCACCTTCATCCAGAAAGAACCTCAAAGAGTCCCCAGAGCTCTTGTTGTAGTGCACACACGCCATCCAGCCTCAGACTTATCTTCCCTCCAACCTGGGTCGTTGGCTGCCACAGTGTCCTGCCACATGAAGTGGCCCTTGCCTGCCCACGTACTGATCCAGCAGTGATCTAGGAGGCTGGGAATAGAGGCAGAACTTCTGGGGTCCTGGCTTCACATGTTGAAGTGCTATGGGGGCCCTTGCTGATCAGTGCTGGCTCCTTGATCTAGTCATTTTTAATAATGGCCCGGTTCACTCAGAGGGAAAGCCCCTGCCTCTCTTTGGCTGCTGGAAGGTGAGTGCCTTGGATGGGCCTGACTGACTGAGAGTATGGACTAGTCCAGTCTTACCTTGGGCTCCTGATTATGCCAGTCCACTGATCTTGGTAGATTTCCTTGGTTCCCAGACAGAATCACTTGAGTAACAGCCTGATAAACCAGCCTTGGACTAGAGTTGCGGCTCAGGAGTAGAGCACTTGGCTCCCCTATGCACAAGGCAGGTTTGAGTGCCAGCACAATATACAGGGGCGCCACGCGCGTGCACACACACACACTCACACACACACACACACACACACACACAAAGAGGAATGCTGGAGCAGTGGCTGCAGACACTGCCCCCAAAAGGGTTAACATGAAAGACTGTCTCCTTATCCTCCCAGCACACATAACCTCACTTGGAACTACCCGTTGGGAAACCCCAGCGTGGATGTGGGGAGTGTTATTATGAGGGACATTTTAATACCTTCTCTACATGTTTATGTAGGAAGCTTGGAAAAGTATAAAGAAAAAAAAAGCTCTTTACAGCAACATCAAGAGATGAGTACTGTTGACATTTTGGTGGGTACTTTTCCAGCTCCTTTATATATATTTCTTTCTTGTTGCCGGGAATCAAATTCAGGACCTTGTGCTTACCAGGAAAGCTTTTATGCCACTGAGCTATATCCTCAGCCCTTCCACACATATTTTAAATGGATTCACACTATATTTGCACTGTGCATTCTTTTTTTTTGTTTTGTTTTTCAGATAACATACCTAGATCTACTTTTCAGGTATTTAAACGCCAAACCTGGAACTTGGCCAAATGGAAGTTGGTCAGTTTCCTGACACCAGCGGCTCCCCAGACAGCCTGACCTTTTTTATTCGGCATTTTGGCCCTGACCCTCTTCTGGGCTTTGCTGATGTCTTGACCCTGATAGAGTTCATTTCCCAATTCTTGTCCCTCAGGATCCTTAGCCTAAAGTGTTTACTTGTGCGTGCGTGTGTGTGTGTGTGTGTGTGTGTGTGTGTGTGTGTGTGTGTGTTGTATTGCACACAGCTTTGTTGTGCAGGTCTCTTTCACGGGGCAGTACGCGGAATTGAGGATTTTGGATTTGTAAGAGGATGGAAGTTTACCATTCAGTAGCGCAATCAAATGTATAAATGCAGCCTCAAAATCATTGCAAACTTCTGCTGTATATCACACGTTTCCCAGTGTGTGTTTTGAAAGTTCTTTGTCTGAAAGAGGAACTGGGGGAATTTGTGACCACCAATCCAACCCTACAGAGAATACTAAAGGACTTTCTAGAAAGAGAGGAAAAAATTCCAGAATTTCAGGAGCAGTGGCAGAGAGGCCTCAATGAACGGGGCAGACAGCGGAATGAAGCAGAAAAGTAGACAAACAACGAGAGGAAAATAGCATAACAGAAATGAGACAGAGAAGTTTGGCTATAAGCTCTAACATAGATGGCCTTGATACATTTTTTTTTTTTAAGGCAGAGTAGAGCAGGAGGTAGGGTCCACCGAGATGCTCTCTATTGGAAATATAATTAACCTGAAAAAGGATTTGTGAACCAAAAATCAAATGTGAGAAAACAATGCTCTGTGTGACAGGGAGCCAGAGAGAAATAGGGGCAACACAACCAGCACCTGCAGATAGGTTAGAAAGACATATTTATGCGCAATAGAGAATTACTCAGCTATAACGAGGAAAACCTGGAGGCTTTTGTAAGTAAAGGAATACAACTTGAGATCAAGTCCAGGAGTGAGAAGGTTTGGAACCATTTAGGTAAATAGCAGGTTGGCCCCCCCCCCCACAAAAATCTCAGGGAGTTAGTGGGACCCAAAATGTGCAGCGCTAAAGTGTGTCCCACCCTGTAGGTGGGAAAAGGGAGGAATAGTCTTAAAACAGAAGGCAGAGGATATTGTTAATAGTGTATCAGGTTTTAAAACCAACATTGTTCTCACTGCTGTTTAGGTGGATTATATTCTGTTCCAGTTGTCTACTTGTACTAGATTTGAGGGCACAGACAGTTATCCCAAAAACAAGATCCAGTACGGTAATCATCCTTAATTTCCTATTAACTTAATCTGAAGCCCTGTATAACTTACATTGTTTTATCATGACTGATCTTAGTTGAATCTGGTTGGTTAGATTGCTGTTTTGTATTGACAGATTTTATTCAAATCTGTTATGATTGATAGTATCAAGTCTGAGAGTATAGGCAACTACACTGAAGATGACAAATTCACTAGGATACCCACTCTGGTTTGACTATTACCTGCTTTTGAAGTTTTACACTGTCTACAATGTTTTGTTTTTATTAATATTGTTATGTACTGCTATATTCAATTATACTGTCTGATGATATGAACAATTCTATTGAAGATATCAAGAGACGACACTGTAACCATTGTAGATCACCTTGTACTGTGGTTTTATATGACTTTATCGTTTCATGTTTTTATACGAATTTGTTTTGTCTTGTCCTGATATGCTTTGTTTTTCCCTGTAATCAGAAAGGTTAGAAATATACGTAGAGACTCATGCATGTGTAGAACTTCTAAACAGTTTATGAGAACTGATTATATACTTCACGATGAAATGGACAACTACCTTGAAGACAAAGAGACACTGAGGTACCCAGTGCTGATTCTGTAGTGTCATGATGTGAAATCCAGCAATACCATTATTCTTTGTTCAGAGTGACTTTAGTCTGTTTTGTTTTGTTTAATTTCAACATAAATGAAGGTGTAGACAGCTAATTTGAAAAGAATGAGAGACACTATGACAGCCATTGTTGACTTCCCTATGGTCTGGTCTTGAAGACCTAAAATGCCTTCCTCATTCTGTTTGGATCAGTTCTATACTATGTTGTTTCATGTGAATTCGCTGTATGTGAAGATATGGATAACTATTCAGATGAAAACAAGAGACAATATGATAGACAATGAAGATCTCGAGTTGTCTTGCTTTGAAATCTGTGTCTCTTACATTGTTTTCTTTTGTTCTATTTTGTTATGTTTAATTTTACTCTCTTTAAAATGAAGTTTTAAAAAAGGATGAAAGATATTAACTTATTCTTGCTATTGCTTTATTTTACAGTTGGTGATTCCTGTTTTTCTTCTTTCCCTCAGCCTACCTGATACATTCCTTCTACTAGACTTTTTATATTGTAAGATTCATTTTCTTTCTAGGATACCCTTACGAATTTTTTTTTGGAGTGTGGCTAAGTAGCTATGAATTTCTTAAAATGCTCTTTGCTATAGAAAGACCTTATTTCTTCATCAATTTGAAAAATGGTTTTACAGGATATATCACGCTAGCTTGGATTTTTGTTTGTTTTTGTTTTGTTTTAGAGCTTGAACACTTTACTCCAAATACTCTTGGCCTCTAAAGTTTGTGTTGAGAAATCTGCTGTAATTCTAATGGACTTATCTTTATAATAATTTGTTGGGTTCTCTAACAGCATTTCAGAGTCTGCCCTGGTTTGGACATCTGGGTTGGATTTTGACAATAACATGTTATGGAGAAGTTCTTTTCTGATCTTGGCTATTTGGGGTTCTCTATGCCTCATTTATCTGTATGTGAAATTATTTTCCCATATATCTTAGTTGCTTCATCATTGCTAGCATAAAACTATCCCACACCCACAGTTAAGGAGGAAAGATTTATTTTACTTAACAATTTGTAGAGGTACATGTCCATAGTCATCTAGCTTAATCATAGGAAAGAGATCTATCATTCTAGTATAAACACAAAGACAAACCACATATTGACATAGGACGAACGTATACTAAATGCAACTATACCTTTAATAACAGTAGAAATAAGCCAGGCCTATGACACATGCCTGTAACCCTAGAAATTAGGCTGAGGCAGGAGGATTGCTATGAGTTCGAGACCAGCCTGGGCTACACAGCAAGGTCCTGTTTCAAAGAAAAAAGAAACAAAAAAATATTAAAAAATAATTCAACAATAATAGCAGAGAGAGAGGGGAGGAGCAAAGATGGCACATAGATAACACCTGGCTACAGAAGCTCCCTGAGATAGGCAACTTAGAATTCAACATAATACAAAGTCAGGAGCCCCAATAGAGGGAGATGAATTCTCTCGTCCCAAGAAGAAATTAAGGCCACTTGCTGACCATCCGAGGTCCCACTGTGACTTGCCGGGGTCCCACCATGACAACTTGCCAAGGTCCCGCTGCAACTTGCTGACTCATCCGAGGTCCCAACACTTCGACTCACTGGAGGTGCACTTGCATTGAGTCCGTGGGTTGGCAGAATCGAGGCTGAGTTGGCAGGGTGCCTACATCAACCTGTGGTGAGTGACGGGAGTGGAGCCATTCCATAAACAGGGGA